TGTTTGCTTTGCAGTCAAGGTTTCGTACCTTGGTGTTTACAGTTTTTCTGTTTATCACCCATTTCTGATAAGTACTGATATAATTTTTGCGGGTTTGTTTTTGTTTTAATACAAAAGGTAAAATGTACCAGAGAGGAGCCTTCTTGTAAGTATGAAGTAAAAATAATAACTTCTGTAAGAGGAGGTTGATGAATATCAATGGAAAAATATCACAAAGTTTCAATAAATATTTAACTTTATGGCAATTTGAATTCTGTATGTTATTGCAGTCTAATAGAGTAAAAGCAATAACTTATTTATGGGCCCAAAGAAATTGATCATGAAGATATATTATACAGCTTTTAATAAGCAATTCTAGTTTCATTTGTATTTACTACTTTATTACAAAGAATTTTTAAAATGCTGAGAAATCCTTTGATATGTACTCAATATTTATTAAAATAATTTAAGGCCAATAATTAAGATTCAATTATAAGAATTGACTACTACATACATAGTAATGTAAAACCCATATACCTAGAGTGTGCAGAGACTATAAAACATCCATTAAGCATATATTACTATATGGAATGTTACCAGATATATGTAGAAACTGTACCCTGAGGAGTGACAATGTGCACACATGCCTTTATAGTCACATCAGCATTGCCTAGAGGTATTTCAGGCTCCGTGAGGAAGAAAATAAAATCATGTATTTTGAAAGTTAATTGTATTTAAGCATAAAATACACAAAATACCTATGTCACATTAAATAAACATTTTTACTTTACTGTTTTTACAGCTTTTTGATCAAGGAAGAATTCAGAAAATTTTCCATGCTCTATGCAGCCGACTTTACACACTTAACAGATTCTCTTCTAAAGCTGCTAAATACTGATGATAAATATCTAACTATGATAACTCTTATAATTTTTGTTAAATCTGTGTACAGTGTCCTATTCTGTTGGCTGATTAAAAATGTCCAGAATACATGTTATAAAGATGGCCAGATGATACAGTCTTCAAAATTGTATTGATTATTTGTGCTGATATATTTTAGATCCAATTATATATGTAGTGCTTTAATTAGCTGTTGATACTGAGTAGTAGTTGGCCCCCCATTATTTTTATTCTCAAATACGGAAATTCAAGGAGTGTAAGTAAATTGACAGTATTTGGTCCAACTCAATGGTTTATGTAAAATTAAGTAGCTTGGAAACATTGTCAGAAAAGGAAAATCTCTATTTCTTAAAATTATTTCTGTCTTATACCTGAAGATACCAGTTCACTTTTTTAGATTGATACTGAAATTGAAAACATCTGTACATAATTTTAAAATTCAAATTGCTTTGAAACCTTGAAGATGAATTTGAACTTCCAATATGAAACAGCCATCTTAGTTTCCTAAAACCAATCCCCACTTTAACCCTTATCTGTGCAAGACTGATGTCTAAAAATAATGTCACCATGTATGTTAATTAGTAGATGTAAGATTGAAATAACAGTACAGATTTGTGCTAAGTACTTATTAACAGATTGATAATGTTAGAAACCACATAATCCTCTAAGAATACATGTTCATGTGTCTGTGTGTATGTAATTCAGAAAGCAATGGGTAATGTCTGTCACTTGTCCTTGCTCCTACTCTCTAACTGGGGTCACTTTAACCCACAGGCTGGTCACCCTCCCTAACCCCTTTGCTAATGAGTGGTGGTCCTGCCCCCCTGGCTGGCAGGCCCACCCTTCTTCAGCAAGCTGCTGCCCAGGGAAATGTCACTTTATTATCAATGCTGCTTAATGAAGAAGGACTGGACATTAATTACTCCTGTGAAGATGGCCATTCTGCCTTGTATTCTGCTGCTAAGAATGGACATACAGGTAAAGATATCGATAGTATTACCTCATCGTATAAATACCCGTTTGCAAAAGGATGGAGAGGCAAAAGCATTTGTAACACTGTCATGAGCAAGACTTTCATTTTTATTTCAATTTTCCCTTACAGGTAGCACTGGATAATTTATTTTTTTATGATTTAAAGATTCTTGTAAATGTTTTTAAAAATCCAAATCATACAGTTTTATCATAATGTAAAATGTTTAGCAGCTAGGAAAAAGTAATCTTTGTTTTGTGCCAATAAATGTATTATGTATGTAGAAATTTTAGGTCTAGTAACTAACACACATTGTAGAATAAAGTCCTCCATCTGTGATCACTTTGATCAGGACAAAACAGCCCTACTTTGCCTGTTAGAAATACCTGGTGTGTGGGAAAGTCAAAGCACCTGAACTTCAGTGCATGCTACAGAGGGAAAGTTTTAGTAGTTATGAAAAGTCATGGGTCTGAAATTGTTCTGTAGTTGATGCAGTTTATACTTATTTGGATTGTTTTAGAAACTAAAAAGTTGTACAATTGTAAACAACATATTGAAGAAGTCCAGGCATTATTTTTGTTCCTTGAATTGCAAAGCCTAGTCAAATATACTAAAATAAAAGCTAGTGAAGAAAAAGATGATTTGACTGCAGATGCAAAGTCAAATACCATTGCATATGGTAGCCATACGATTGTCGATTAATTCAGATAAGGTGGCTTCCTTGGAAGTCTTCAGAACTTTCCTGTATTCAGGTGGATTAAATGGAAGATTCTAATGAGCTCAGAAAGTAGCTCATTGTTTTGAAAATAGTTTGGCGTTCATTTTTACTTCAAAAGCATTATGGGAATTTTCTTTAGTATAGAGAAATTAAATCTAGTGAATTACAAGAGGAACATGAGATCTAAGTGGTGCTATTTATGACTGAGTCAGGCGACTTTCTATGGATCCTCCTTTACTGTCATTATGGAGTTAAGTGTAGGATGACCATTACACAAAAGCATTTTAAAGATGAAAACATAAAGTAAGAGTTTACTAAATATAAAGAATGGTATTTCAATTTAGTGAATGGATTTGGATCTCCATCCAATAACATTATTTTCTGGGGTAGTATGGTAGAAAAATCTGGTAAAGTGTTTTCTGACACATGACAGGCAGTTCTCTCACTCATCAGCAATTCTTCCCAAAGCACCAAAAGAAAGTAAAGATCATATCTTAGTTGGTGAGTCTGGGGTATTTCAATGTTCAGAAAAAGAGGCTACTTTCCCTGTAAACAGTCTGGAATCTCACATTTGCCATGATACAACTAATTGTCGGGTGGACTGTCCTTAGGGAGAGGTCCTTTGGGTTTAGTATCTGTCTACAGTTTTCATAGAGTTTGGCTCACTGAAACTCTACATGGGGAATGAAAGTGACTTTCTATTAAAACCTGTAGACTGTGTGAGATTGCTGCTGAATGCAGAAGCCCAAGTCAATGCTGCTGATAAAAATGGCTTCACACCCTTGTGTGCTGCAGCTTCTCAGGGACATTTCAAGTAAGTGATGCTTTTTCTTTTCTTATGAGGAGAAGTTCTTCATAATTTGCACACATATTTTTGTTCTAGCTGAATATGTAAACTAGCGCTTAAAATCTAGTGTCAAGTAAATTTACTAAGTATTTTTGAGGATTTAAACACACTAGGAACTTGAAATTGCTCTCAGTAATTGGTTAAGCGTTGCATACGAGGGAAGTGAAGAAGAGAAATACGCAGTGTCCAAACCTCATGTGACAGTATAGTAACATATATTTTGTGGCAGTATAGTAACATATATGCAGTAATTTTAATGGGCTGTTAGACTTTGTTTTTTGCTATTTTCCACCACCCCAACACAAAGAAACCTTTTTACTTACAATGGCATTAAAAGTAAAGCATAGAACTATACTATTTTTTAACAATCTTAACTTACTAGTAGCAATTTATTCAGTATTAAATCTCAGTTATTTTCCTTGTTCTTTTTTTAAAATGAAGAAGAAATTTTATATACTGAAAGTAATGAGAGCACAGAACGAAAAGAGCCTATCAATTAAAATATACATAACTTTAGCAGTGATTCCTTCAGTAGCTTATTACTAAGGCAGTTGAACATAGTAATAGTTTTTTTAAATTGTGTCCTATTTTACTGAAAGAGAATTTAGCTAAGTTGTTTTCTTTGCCTGTGCTGAAAAAGCAGGGATTACAAGCTATTTTCAATTTTTTACATCGCTACCCTGATAGAAATGTTCTTTAACAAATTTCTGAATTCTTAAAATAGGGGTTTTAAGGTTCATACTAATGTTATTTAAAAAGTTAAGGGATTAAGCAAAACAAACAAACAAACAAACAAAAACCCCAAAAACCTCATAGACAGATAACAGTATGGTCCTTACCAGAGGGCAAGGGAGTGGCTAGACATAAGCCAGAGTGAGGGGCGGCTAAATGGTAATGGAAAGAAACATGACTTGGGGTGGTGAGCACACAATACAATATACAGAGGATGTATTGTAGAATTATATAATAATTCTTAAGCCTACATAATTTTATTAACCAGTATAACCCCAATAAAATCAATTAAAATTATAAGTGGAAAAATTTCTAAATTCAAAATGCATCCATAAAGTATACATTATTTCTTTTTTTCTGCATGTCATCACCCTGAGTTGTTATTGAAAACTGTAGATTTTGCCCTCATTTTTTGCATGTCTTGAGTCCTCCAAAAGGATTTCTTCTGGGCTATACTTTTACCTTTACTGTCACCAGGCAATCTGCAGGGCCACTTGCTTGAATAGTATAATAGTCATGGGAATAGAGGCATAGATAGCTTTACAAAAAGGAAGAATGCTGGGGTTGATTAATTTAAATGTGCATATTATACATACACTTTAAAATATAACTTAGTTTTAGTATATGTTTATACATACACACACATACACACACAAATCAAATGTTAAGGGAATCCACAAGAAAACATGCATCCGCTGTTAAAAAAAAAAAAAAAAGATGTGAATCGCTCCTTATTTTAACTATGATTTAGTCCTCTTTTCTAAGTTTATTTTCATCTAATTTTATAAACTCAAGATTCAGTGTTTAGTTGTTTAGTAAGTGATAGTTTGTCTTGAATTTACCTCATTTCTTACCTCATGTCTTGATTCTCAGGGCAATGAGTTTCTGCTTAGCTATGTCTTTTTCCTGGTAAACTAGCATCCCTTTAGGAGATGGGACAGCCTCTGCTGTCTTTTCCCCCCAGGCAACCTTTTCCTCCCTGCTTGCTGCTTTTTATAGTGGAGGCACATGGTGCCCCGCTGGCTGTCTGCACTATTTATAGTTATTTTCTCAAATGAAAAATCTCAGAATGACTCAGCAGCCTGATTTATTTGAAGGTTCAAACTATTTCAAACCACTAATAATATATATGTCAAGCACAGTTAAATCATTCATACTAATAAGTTAAACACATTCTAAGGACTCCACTTTTTCCAAGTTGGTTACAGAGAAAGGTCATAAACCAGGTTTCACTTACTCAAAGTTGCTGTTTTAAATGTTCATGGGAGTAATGAAGTTTGTGATTAAAATACATCTTCTAGCCTTGTTAAGAAACAATTCCCATATAGTAAGACCCACAATAATTTATGATGCACACTTATATATTTCATGTATATAAAGATGCAAAATTACTTCATAATTATTATCAAAATTTAATATTTTGGTCAGGTGGCACTTCAGAAATCAAACCCAGTTTCCCTGAAATTAATTATAATCTTGGTGTTTAGGTGTGTAGAATTCTTAGTTGCATATGATGCTGACATTAATCATGCTGCTGATGGAGGACAGACCCCTCTATACCTGGCCTGTAAAAATGGAAATGAAGAATGTATTAAACTCTTGTTGGAAGCTGGAAGTGACCGAAGTATAAAAACCAGAGTGAGTATCAGTTTTGGGGGTTTTGTTCTGTAATTTACAATGTGTCTACAAATTGTACAGCTAGAAAAATAAAATATATTAAAAAGCTAGAGTTTGCTTTGTTTTGCTTTTGGGATATTGGGTAAGGACAGTGTCTATTCTCTCAGTCTCTACTAACTAAAAGCCTTGTCTTAACCTAACCAGACCTTTATCTTTGAACCTCAGCTTATTCAAAATGAATATCTGTGTCCTGACTTTTTTCAGAATTAGGTGAGAGAATGGACTTACTAGCTTTTATTCATTCCACAGATATTCCCTGAGTACCAGGTGTGCTAGGGACTAAGGGAGACAGCAGCAGCCAAAGTAGCCCCTGCCCTCATTGATCTTATATTCCATTATTGGGGGGAGGGCAACAGTAAACAAATAAGAGAATAGATAGTAGTTGGATGTGTAGGAGATGGGAGTGCCGGGGGCGGGGTTTACTCTACAATAACCAGTCAGAAAAGTCTTCAGTGAAAATGTGACAATTGAGCCAAGACCTAAAGGAAATGAAGGAATGGGTCAAGAAGGGACAAGGAGAGCCATGTGCCAGGCCTGAGCAAGAAACAGTAAATGCAGAGGTCCCAGGTGGGAGAGAGGTGGCACCTCAGTGTACTTCAGGGAGATGTGGGTCATGATGAGGACTCTGGGTAAGAGACTGGATGGCTTTGAACAGAAGGTGGATATGAACTAACTCGTTTTTGTAAGAATCACTCTGGCTGCAGGGATAAGAAGAAATTGTAAGTAGGGAGGCACAGAACAGATGACAGGAGGCCTGTCAGGCATCTGTTGTATTAACTGAGGGAAAAAGTAGTGGTTTGGATCAAGATTGAAGGGTAGAGGGAGGAATGGTCCAATTCTGGATGTATTTTCAAGGTGCATTATATATATTTTTAAAGTGCTACAGAAGTATAAACTTTGGCAGTTGTGGCAATGATGGTATTAGAAAAAGTGTTGTGTAATGGCTGAGAAGTCAGGGTCCAGAGTTAGACCTTGTGGCTTTAACCTTGTCTCCACAATGTAGCATGATCTTGGGCAAGTTATCTTACTTCTCTTTTCCTTGGTTGATCACTCTATAAAATGAGGTTAATAGTGGCCGCCATTATTAGGGTATTGAAATGAGCCTGTCTATATAAGGTGATTGGTATAGTGCCTGAGAATTGTAAGCACTCGACAAATGTTAGCAGTCCTCATCGTCACCACCACCACCACCACCACCACCATCAATAGGAGAACTGAGTTGTAACGTGTAAATGAAAGGGAATTTTGTGATGACCTTTGCCCTGCACTGGAGGAGGCTTATTTGTGTTGACTCTTTCTCCTAGAATGATGTTTGTTATTGCTAAGATTGTGCAGCACCTCACAGAGTTTAGGGTCACTGGTTTAATTTGCCTCAGAACTTGAAACACTATGTGGAAATGCACTATAAAACCTAACATGCTAATGGAACTGTTGACTTCACCTTGCACAGTTTTGATACTGCCTGTAAAACTGCACAGGTGAAGAAAGATTTTGAAGCTGACAAAGTCCTTGGATAGTACTTTTGGCTCAGCCACATGGGAATACATTTGAAATAAAACGTCTCAATTAAGTCTCCAAAATTTGTCTTCATCAAGCTATTATGATGCTCTTGAAGACTGAGAAAGCAGCCCTGTGTACACTGACAAGCATTTCTCTGACGGAGGCTCATCTAAGGGCTGGAGGAGTTACGGAGCTTCCATCATGATCCATTGTTCATTGGGTTCAGGCATTATATTATTTTTGTTATTGCAACTTCCCATAATATTATGTAGTAATCACCACCCTCCAACATATTCCTAATGAAAGACAAATGTAGACTTTTTAATTTCCAAAGGTTATCTGTACCTTAGATTCATTCTGTTAATAGAGAATTGACTGTACTGGGTATCCATTTCACAGGAAACATCCTTAAAATTTTTTAGGATAAAAAGGTACATTATCTGTTTTATAGATCACTCTTTGATCTGGACTTTTTAAGAAATTTCCCAAAAGAACCAATACTAAAGGGTATAACCAGGGAAATAAGTTAGGTATAAATATTTTCCATTGAATCTTATTGTTAAAGATATTTTTTAAAAAACTTTATTTTTGAAAATCTGAGAGAATAGTGTTATGTTTATTCATGCTATTTTATATGCTTTATCTGAGAATTCTATGAGGTTACACACACAGATTTCATTATGAAATTGTGAAATTGTACCTTAATGTGAAAATTGAATGAATTTTACATTACCAAGCTGAATGAAAAATAAATAGTGCCACAGAAAAATTTGTCACATCCCTCTAAGTTGGAGAACACAGAAATCCATGCTGTCCTGCAAGTTGTTGAAAGTACAGAGGTAAACAGTATAATTAATAGAGGATTTTAAAGAATAATTATCTCCTGTTACTTTTAATAAGAAATCAAAGGAGAATGGAAGATTGAAAGTTTTTCAGGAAAGGCTGCATGGTATTTATAATGTAAATTAGGTATGCTTAGGAGCACTTATACTCCAGGAGCTGCGTAAGGCTGATACCCAAGTAAAGGTGTCCACAGCCCAGCAGAGAACAAGCCATGAAACGCTTTGCCTGGCTGGAGCTTGCTGGAGTCCGTCCAAGCACTGTATGGTATTCCAGTTACTGCCCATGGTCTTATCTCAGCCAAGTTGACCTCATTGGTATGCAGTACAGAACCAGACAAGAAACCCACTTTATCAAAGGATAGCTTTAGCAAATGATCAGATGATTCAATCTAAGTGTAGACTGTTACCATTTATTGTCTAGTTTTCTCCCTGTCTTTTACCCTATATTTTTTAAAGTGTGCTGAAGCTCAGTAAAAAATATCTAGCATAACAGTATGAAACACCATTAACAAACCAAAAATGGAGGTGAAGCTGCCTATAGTCACAGAAGCCAAACTCATGAAGCAGATGATGATGTAAGAGAAAAGAGGTTTTATTCAGGTGCTGCACAATCTATGAGAATGACAGACCCCTGTCTCAAAGCTCATACCCTCTGCAAAACCAAGACAAAAGTACATTTCAAAATACAGTCCTTTGAAGCCCACCAATGGTTGCTAAGTGGCTGTCCAGGTAGCTTAGCTTGTTCCCAGCTGCCGTCCATTTCAGGCTACCTCTTGAAGCCTGCATGTGGAGCCTATGTGGTCATCGGCCATGCAGCTGCTAGGGCTGCAAGGTTGTGTGCTCCAGGGAGAGAGCACATGAGAGCATCACCAGGTGGGCAAGAGTGAGAGAGGCTCCCTCCTGGAGGCCATGGGCCCCATGGCTGCTAAGGAGAGAACGGAACAGTGCCCTGTGCCAGTGCAGGTCATGAACCAGCCAGAGCAGGCCTATTATTTTTGTTCCCTTGGGATTATATTAGCTTGGGTGTGAAGCAGGCCAGGTGCTTTCTCAAAATCCAAACTTTTGAGTGCTTTGGGTGGGTCTACCTCCCAACCAATTCCTTCTTTTCCCAGGCTAGACTGATAGACCTCTTCAGTCTGGCACCTCCCCCGATACCATTTTGACTTCTGTGGTGCATGTGCCTGCCTTCACTTGATCCCACCCCCAATCTGGTACTGGAAGGGAGGAGGCTTTTTCCTATCCAATTATCTTGCTGTTTTTTTGCTCTGAGTCTAAGAACCTCCCCCTGCTTCCATCTTGGCCAATGGAGGAGATTCCCCAGGCTCTGGACAGACTGTTTACTGGTGACAACACTGCATGAAAAAACATGCTGGTAGGAAATAAAATAAAGCCAAAACACAAATCACCAAAATAAAGCTCAGTTCTTTTATGAAAGTCTTAAAAATCTAATGAAGACAAGTACTTGAGTAGAAGGCAGATCCATCTCTATATAAAAATATATACAGGACTCAAAGGGTAAAAAGGTTTTCCCTAGAATAGTGCTTGTTGAACTTTAGTGCATCCGGATCACCTGGATTGCTTGCCATGCCCTAAAATTTTATGATTTTTGTAGGTTTTGAGTGATGCTCAAGAATTTGCATTTCTAACAAATTTTCAGGTGATGCTGATGCTGATCGTCTCGAGACCATACCTGAGAACCACTGCCCTAGAAAAGAGTTGAGTCTACTCTAGAAACCAGCTAAGTGGGTGATTGAGCCTTCAAAGTAACATATTCCAGAAAATGGACTCAGTCATTTTAGTTGGAACATTTTCTAAGCTTGCATGTATCAATGGCCCACTGCCATCACAAAACACTCAGTAGAGGCCCATGGGCACACCATGCAGTAATTTGGCTCTGTTTTTCCTGTATCCCTATCTTTTCCCTATTATCTACAATCTTTTGGAA